CTCTCTCCCTCTCTCCCTCTCTCCCTCTCTCCCCCTCTCCCCTTCCTTTTCCCCCTCCCTCTCTATCACACACATGCTGCTGATGCAGACCGATGTACTCCGGTGCATTCCAGGTCAACAAGGGCGTGCCCGGCGGCGCATAGAACGCATTGTCGCGCCACTAATCACCATCACGCACGCATCGCGGCTCTTTTTCGGACAGCGGACACCTATTTTACACGGGTCGAGCGGGGACTTTTCTCCACCTCCTTCACGCTTTGACGACAATAACGAGTCCACATCCAGTGCCACGTTTGTAATTTACCAACACCCTCTGCATTTTAGCAGCAGCTAGTCATAACGTTAAAAGATGTATCATATTGAATGTTTGAACATCGTTACTTGTTTTGTTCCGATTCATGTTCCGGGAACATGAATCGACCATCCCTTACTTACCCCCTTGTTCCAGTGCATGATATAGGGTATAGGCACGTCGTTGGGAAAGTCCAGTTTGCAATTGAAGACGATCGAGTCTCCGACGGAGGCCTTGAGCTGGGCGGGGCCCTTCTCCTCCTCAATGTTGAAGTAGCCCGCAGCTGAAAAAAGTTATTCAATCGTTCATACGACATTAATTTTAGGAGAGGGGGATACAAATGTAATGGGACTCAAAAGGACCAGGAACATCATTACTCTGATCCATAGTGACCCCATGGTATTTGTACCCCGGATTATGGGGTCCCTATGGACTCCAATGACGGTCCTGATAATTTTGGTACTTCATAATTATTGTACCCCGCACCCACTAAAAGTCATGTACAGGGTGGTCCACAGACCCCTTCCTTTATTTTGCTTATACTGTACCGCGTTATGCAGGCGTGTGGGCGGACTTGCCTACCGTCGCTCACCGCGGCGCCTTATGGCTCCGTGCGAGTGCATGCATATGCAACCCGCCGACACGCCTAAATCCGGTACAGTATAAGCAAAATAAAGGAAGGGGTCTCTGGACCACCCTGCATAGTATGGGAACGACCTTCCTCGCGCCCCATAGATTGAGCAGTTACTGCAGTGCACCGCACAGCAAGCACGCGTGTGCACAGGTTGCCTACTTACTAAGGGTCATAACGCGAAGGCAGACAAAAGGCAAACCCGCCCACCCATTTGCCTGCATGCGATTAGGGATCGTCCAGAAAGTATCCGCTTCGCATTCGATAAATAATTTAGAGCTCGTCGCCTGCGAAACTCGGGGTAGGCCGCCCCGCGGTACACGTATGCATCGCAGGCATGACATTGCCTACCCACAAGGCGCCATGAGCGCTTGCCTAGGCTGAACTCGGCGATCTCTTAACGCCGAATGACGGACGCACTTTATTTCATTGCCAATTTATATTCTTGGTTGGAAACATATTTTTATCAAATGAAGAACGCGAAAAATAACATTGACAACAATCTGGTACAGCACCGGACAAAAAAAAAAGGAAGAAAACACTGCAAACCCTGCAAATCCGAGTGTGTACACTGTGCACTCTTCCTTATGTGTACTTGAAAGCACAACAAGGAGGTGTGTGGCTGGCATCGCACACACTCGGTGTGTGCCACGCATGTACGCACAAGGAAGAGTGTACTAAGTACACACTTGGGTTTACAGTGAAGGCAACTGGCCGCAAGCGTCCTGTGGTTGTCAACTCTGGCCTTGCTAACGGCGTGTCAACCCCCAGCAAGTGACGTTGCGTGCAAGCAAGGAAGCAGTCCCGACGGGGGCGCGCCGCGTCCTAGACCAGCCTAGGCGAGGAAGGCTCCTCCTAGATTCTTACCGGAAGTGGCTGACAGGAGAGCGCAGGCGACGCACGCCCTCACCGCGCCGGTCAACGGCATCATGGAGAGGCGCCCGGAGGGCGGTGGGGCGGTGGCGGTGCGAGGGAACGGTCTTCTCCACTACGCCTCAGCCCTGTGTCGCATCTCCGACGACCCGGAAATGAGAACCTGCAAGAACATTCCTTCAGAACATCGAAAACCCTGGAACTCTGGAGCCAACCAGCCCATGTGGGTGGATCTCGCAGGGAGCCAACCTCTTAGAACCAAACCGTAATGATCGCGCCTGGAACAAAAGGAAAATTGTTCCATAGTTCCAGAGCAGAGCGGCCCCCAAGGACGTGCGGCCCGGCCCCGTGCGGCTACACCGCCAGGACCGCCAGCCGCTGACAACACTCTTCCTCTGGCCGTGCCCCGTGTGTGGGAGGGGGAGGAGAGGGGAGGAGACGGACGGGCGGACGGGGGACGCGCGGGCAGGATTGGCGTAGGGACGGGCAGATGCTACGCTAATGTGACGAGAACCTCTGGGCGGTACCCGCACACGCGCGCCGGGGTATCGGGAGGGATCGGGTGAGTGTCATGCGATACATACCCGCGCAAGATGCAGGCAGCCTACAGTGCGGGGTCCCCTTCTGACCGGGGGACTTTCGGGTTTTTATCGTTTTTCATTTTCAATTTATTTTTACAATGTTTTATCACTTTAATGGAGGTATCAGAACAGAGATTTGTTATTAAACGAGACAAACAATGAGCGGGACGACAGGCAGAAAGCGGACGAACATCCCGGTGGCAGTCCCCAGTCATCGCTACTGCCGCGTGGTTCGTCTCCAGGGCCACCCCTCCAGTCGTAGGCAGCCGGCCGGCCCGGCCCGGTCTACACAGCTCTGCGCTAGCGCTACGCATCGAGCGGAGGCGGCCCTATGGTGCCCTATGGCCGGCCCTGGTCGGCGAGGAAGAGATCAATCATAATATCTCAACTAACTCTCAGCTAGC